ACAAGCCCAATCTTTTAATTAAGCCTAAACATGAGTTGCACAACTTAAACTGTGTGGCAGGAATTGTGATGTCTGTCCTATTGGACCGCGAGTGGGGCGTGCAACATGTCTATGGAATAGGAAAGTAATAACAAATTCATAGAGGCAATTATTATTTCAGTGGCAGGTACATAAGAGAGAGTCACATTTTCACCACACTGATCACCACACATTTAGACCTATCCCAAAGTTTGTCTCCAATAGGAATCACTATCATAACCACTATTCACCTAGAAAACCACAATATCAACCACGACATCAAAGATATCAAAAACACTCAACATCTGACTAATATCACACAAAAACACAACAGTCCCCACCGAGATATGTGAAAACTTTGCAACACCTTTCCAAACCACGGCTTACTTCACCACAGTATCACAACTCCAACGGCTATAATGCTCACTCTTCTACACAATAAAAAAACCCAATCTCCATTACTGCTAGACCACAAAAATCAAGATACTGTCAGGTATACCCTGGCATACATGCCGCCGTCGGAACCCACTTCCGGGTTCGCGGCGCTTAGCCCCGCCCCTTTTTCCGAAGCGGTCCTTCCACGATACTTAGGAAGACCGCGCCAGATTCAAAGGGCTGGATTATTTGCACAGGTGCCTGCAAAGAGATCAGCTGCTCTACTTTGATCCTGCCTTTTTTCAGACCTCGGCTTGTAAAACGGATTTCTACCTTCTCCACTCCCAGACCTCGGCTTGTAAACGGATTTCTACCTTCTCCACTCCTAGACCTCGGCTTGTAAACGGATTTCTACCTTCTCCACTCCCAAACCTCGGCTTGTAACACAGAATTCTACCTTCTCCACTCCCAAACCTCGGCTTGTAAACGGATTTCTACCTTCTCCACTCCTAGACCTCGGCTTGTAAACGGATTTCTACCTTCTCCACTCCCAAACCTCGGCTTGTAACACAGAATTCTACCTTCTCCACTCCTAGACCTCGGCTTGTAACACGGAATTCTACCTTCTCCACTCCTATTCCTCAGCTTGTTAGAACGGACTTCTAATTTCTCCTCCATTGGGTGAATTAACCCTTCCAGTGCCAGAACAGCTTTTTAAGTTAAGTAACTCTTCTGCCAAACAAGCCAATTCCTATTACTTATATTACACTGTATCTAAAGACTCACTACAGTGTCATTTTGTCAAGTTATTCCTCTTTTTCATAAGGGACTATTACCAAGGCTAATTCTTTCTGCAATAATCAAACTATTACTAATTGTAACCTGACCTGCTTCATTAATAATTCTCTCATAAATTATTCTATATCAATTAAGTTGGAAACTATCTCTGCCTCTTTTCCTGCATTAATTCTATATGGGAATTAAGTGGCTTGTGTAACTCACCTTCAATCACAATTAACTTCCTGCATGTGTATTTAAAGATACAGTAACCATTGTTTTATATCAGTATAAAAAGAGGTGAAATTTATAGTTACTGCAACTAGAAAATTCTGCAGTTGAGTTCCAATTAAATAAGTATTACAGATATGCATATAGAAATTATGAAGCCACTAAATCACTATAACCACCCTAACAGGTATCAATTACTATCTGTGGACTCAAACATTGATAATGAAGACTATTTTTTAGGAATCCATACACGGACAAACACAAAAGCTCCAACCCCCTACCCTACAAAAGTGAGGAAATTAAGTCTAAGTTTAGAGGAAGGAAAAGTGGGAGAAGATCACAAAAGGGAAAGATTAAATGGAAAGTAACAAATCTCACCGAATAGAAACAAGGAATCTTCAATTTATCTCAAAAAGTTTTATCCTCCACCCAAATATCAGTTTTAACAAAAGGTCTTAAATGTGCACCCACGAATTCTTTTAAACCATTTCAGGCTTTTTTAGACGTCAACAAATTTATTAGAAAGGCTACCCTTAAAAGATGTTTTTATAAACAAGGAACAAAATGTCATTCCCACTCAAAACTCAACTCCCCCTTCATTGGAATCACTTGATTATCCCAAAATAATATCTACCTTTCTAAAAAAATCCATCGAAATTTTATCCAACAAATTCGAAATCAGGCGCTCAAGAAATATTTGAAAAATTAGTCCTTAAAGATATGGAGAAAATAAAAATTAGTAACAACTATGATGACCAAAATTTATCACGTTTGGAACAAAAAGCTCTAAAAGAGCTAAAAAAAAAGATGAAGAAATCGTCATAAAACCTGCGGATAAAGAGGCGGGGAGGAGGGGATATAGTCATACGCTCCAAAGAAATGCATATTAATGAAGCTATGAGACAACTCAATGACCCAAAGGTTTATGATAAATTATCTCATGACCCAACCCCTAAAATAAAAAATATATATATGTTTCCTTTTTAGAAAAAGGTAGAGAAAATAACATTTTAAATAAACAAGAATTCAAATTTTTAAATGTACAATACCCTAAGATCCCCGTAATTAATTTTTTACCAAAAATTCATAAAAATGAAACAAACCCACACGGGAAACCTATCGTCTCAGGGATAGGGTCGATTTTATCCAACTTGTCAGAATACCTTGACATCCTGCTGCAGCCATCAGTTAAAAATATGGAGTCTTATCTTAAAGACTCCATGACTCTTGTCAGATTTTTAAATACTTTTAACTGTAAAGAATCATATATTTTTAGTAACATGTGACATACAATCCCTATATACCATCATATCACATGATAAGGGATGTGCAGCAGTAGAAAAAAATTTAAGATCAGAAAATATAATTCCAGATGACCAAATACTTTTTATTATACAAGGTATCCACACCATTTTAACTAACAATTTTTTTTTGGTTTTATGATTCATTTTATATACAAAAACATGACAACGCGATGGGCACCAGGTTTGCCCCTAGTTATGCAAACCTCTTCATGGCTGACTGGGAGACAGATGCCATCCTGGGGGGCACATGAGTGGAGGGCAAACCTGGTGTCACTTCCAGCTGCCATCATAAGCCCTGGTTACATGCCATTCCAAAAAGCCAATTCCTTCGTTTGAGAAGAAACTGTTTGAATTTACAAGATTTTGATGATCAATCCACAATTTAAGAAACAAGTTCATCGAAAAAAGATATCAAGAAAAACATCTAGACGAAAATATGTTAAGTATTAGAAAAAGCAATAGATCAGAACTTCTGGAATATAAAAAGAAAAACACTGAGAGCTCCATCTCTTTGCCAATTGTCTTTGATTTTAACAGTAAAAGCAACATGTTGAGAAAAATTGTAAGTAAGCATTGGCACATATTAAAACAAGATGAGATTTTACTCACAAATAATTTTACAAGAATCCGCACCACCCAACAGCCCACTTCCTTTTTGACAAAACCAGCGGGTTTTTATAAATGTAATAAATGCATAGTATGTAAAAACACTAGTTGTGATGTTAAAACAAAAACTACAAATTTTAAATCCACCATTGCCAATAAATCATATACAATTAAGGTTTTCAAAAAAAACTTTAGACATTTATTAGAATGTCCATGTGGGTTTCAATACGTAGGAATGACGACTCGATGTCTGAAAATAAGGTTGGCAGAGCATTGCCAAAACATAATTAAAGGATACGAAAAACATTCAGTCTCCAAACACTTTATAATACATGATAAAAATCAAAAATTTCTAAAGTGTGTTACATAGTTACATAGCTGAAAAGAGACTTGCGTCCATCAAGTTCAGCCTACCTCACATTTGTTTTTTGCTGTTGATCCAAAAGAAGGCAAAAAACCCAGTTTGAAGCACAATTTTGCAACAAGGTAGGAAAAAAATTCCTTCTTGACCCCAGAATGGCAGTCAGATTTATCCTTGGATCAAGCAGTTATAACCCTACATTGAAAGATTATATCCTTGAATATTCTGTTCTTGCCAGTATGCATCTAGTAGCCGTTTGACCATCTGTATGGACTCTGATAAAACCACTTCTTCAGGCAGAGAATTCCACATCCTGATTGTTCTTACAGTAAAAAAACCTTTCCTTTGCCTTAGATGAAATCTTCTTTCTTCCAGTCTAAACGCATGGCCTTGTGTCCTATGTAAAGTCCGGTTTGTGAATAGATTTCCACACAATGGTTTGTATTGGCCCCGAATATATTTGTATAATGTTATCATATCCCCTCTCAGGCGACGTTTTTCTGAACTAAATAGGTTTAAATTTGTTAACCTTTCTTCATAGCCGATATGTTCCATTCCTTTTATTAATTTTGTAGCCCGCCTCTGCACTTTTTCTAGTGCCCTAATATCCTTCTTTAGAACAGGTGCCCGAAATTGCACAGCATATTCAATATGTGGTCTTACCAGTGATTAAAAGAGGCAAAATTATATTCTCGTCCTGAGAATGAATGCCCTTTTTCATGTATGACCATACCTTACTGGCCTTGGCCACTGCAGATTGACATTGCACATTGTTGCATAGTTTGTTGTCTATAACAATTCCCAAATCCTTTTCGTGTGTTGTTATCCCTAATTCGCTTCCATTAAGGGTATACGTTGCTTGTGTATTCTTTACGCCTTAGTGCATAACTTTGCATTTTTCAACATTCAATTTCATCTGCCATTTGAGTGCCCAGTCCCCCAGTCTATCTAAATCCCTCTGCAGCAAAGTAATATCTTGCTCACATTGTAATATTTTACAAAGTTTTGTGTCTTCTGCAAACACTGAAACATGACTTTCAATGCGGTCTTCAAGATCATTTATAAACATGTTAAATAGAAGGGGTCCCAGAACAGACCCGTGAGGGACACCACTTGCCACCTCTGTCCAGCTTGAAAATTTACCATTAATGACAACTCTTTGGACTCTACCCAAGAACAAGCATTTTCATCTAGACCGATTTCCTTGAGTTTGAGCACTAATCTATTGTGTGGAACTGGAAATTTATACAGTACAGCCTAGGTACACTAGAGTAAAGGGGGTAACCCCTAGTAGGAATGAAATAGTAGGCGGAATGGTAGTGTACCTATGGGTTGGGAGAGAGAGACATGTGTTTAAACTTCTAAATAGAAGATAAGATAAAAAGACCACAGGGTCCACAAAAACAAAAAAGACTTTATTCAATAAAGTCTTTTTTGTTTTTGTGGACCCTGTGGTCTTTTTATCTTATCTTCTATTTAGAAGCTTAAACACATGTCTCTCTCTCCCAACCCATAGGTACACTACCCTTCCGCCTACTATTTTATTGTGTGGAACTGTATCAAATGCCTTGGCAAAATCCAAATAGATCACATCCACTGCAACACCCTGATCTATACTTCTACTTACTTCTTCGTAGAACGCAATCAAGTTAGTTTGACATGACCTGTGCTTCATAAAACCATGCTGATTTTTGCTGATAACCATGTTCTTCTCAAGGAATTCTTGAATATTATCCCTTAATAACCTTTTAAATATTTTACCAGCCACAGAAGTTGAGCTCACAGGTCTATAATTTCCAGGCAAGGATTTTGAACCCTTTTTGAATATAGGAACCACATCTGCCTTCCTCCAATCCTCCGGAACACTTCCTGAAAGAAAAGAATCTTGAAAGATTAAAAACAGAGGTTCATTTATTTCTACACTTAGTTCCTTAGTACACGTGGATGGATACTGTCAGGCCCTGGAGCTTTGTTTATATTAACTTTATTTAGTTGCTGCAGCACCTTGTCTTGAGTTAACAAATTACAATTATTCTGCAAGTTTTTAGTAGCAATCATCTGCACATCTATTGCCATGGGTTCTTCCTTAATATATACGGAGGAGAAATAGTTATTTAAAATTCCTACCTTTTCCTGGTCTTCATTAACTAACACCCCCGTTTCAGTTTTTAGTGTACTTAAAAAATGCTTTGGGGTTGGTTTTGCTCTCTTTAGCTATCATTATTTCATTTTGAAATTTAGCAAGTCTAATTGCCTTTTTGCACGCATTATTTGCTTCCTTATATCTTTTATAAGATGCATCTGATTTGTCCGATTTAAATGCTTTAAATGCCCTTTTCTTAGTTATAATCTCTTGTTTTACTTCTCTACTAAGCCATGTTGGTTTTAATTTGTTTCTTTTATATTTATTTCCCAATGGTACATACTGAGAAATATACCTTTTTAATATTTGTTGGAAGATGATCCATTTATCCTCAGTGTTCTTTTCACTAAAGAGTTTATGCCAGTCAATATATTGTAAAGCTTTCCTTAACTTATTGAAATTGGCCTTTTTAAAATTATGTTTTAGTATTCCCCATGTGCTTTTGTTTTTTTGAGTTTATTTCAAAGGACACTATATTGTGATCACTATTTCCCAAGTGCTCACCTACTTGAATGTTGGTCAAAAGATCAACGTTGTTTGTTAAAACCAGGTCCAGACAAGCATCCATTCTAGTTGGTGCTTGTACAAGTTGTGACATGAAGGTGTCATTTAACAAGTTTAAAAACCTAATTCCCTTTGCTGAGGCACTAGTCCCTCTGTCCCAATTTATATCCGGGTAATTAAAATCTCCAATAATTAAAGTGTTACCCAGATTTGCAGCTTTCTCAATTTGCTCAAACAGCTGTTGTTCCTCGTCAATATTAACATTAGGTGGTTTATAACATATCCCAACCAATAGTTGGTTTCCCTTCTTTTCCCCCAAGCAGATATTTACCCATAAAGCTTCCACATTATCCTCCTCGCATTCCATTTGCTTAACATTTGGCTTTAAATCATGTTTGACATACAAACATACCCCACCACCCTTCTTGTTTTTCCTATCCTTCCTAAATAACGTGTACCCATTTAAGTTAACTGCCCAGTCATGTGTCTCATCCCACCATGTTTCAGTTATGCCTTTTATATCATATTGTTTAGTGTAGGCTAATGCCTCTAGTTCCCCCATTTTATTATTTAGGCTCCTTGCATTAGTAAGCATACATTTAATATTATGCGTCACTTGTATATTTTGTGAATTTTCAACATTACACAGCTTCTCTGTTCTGAGCTTGCCCCTCCCCCCTTCTCCACCCCCCCTTATACTGTGCTAAAGCCCATCTCCTTTCTGTCCTAACTCCATTTTGTAGATTGCTATGACCCTCCCCCCCTACTGCTAGTTTAAAATATCCTCCAACCTTCTAGCCATCCTATCCCCCAGCACTGCAGATCCTCCCCCGTTTAGGTGCAATCCTATCACCACTATAAAAGGTTGCACCCAATCGCAAAGTCGGCCTAGTGCTCTAAAAACCCAAAACAATAAAAGCAATGATGTAAAAAGAATAATAAAAAAGCATTGGCATATACTTAAACATGATGAGATACTTGACCCAATTCTACCTACCCACCCAAATATTCTTTTTAGAGGAGCTCCGAGTTTTAAATCTATTCTTACCACTAATTTTACCAAAGAATCCCCGACTAGGAACTTCTCTTTCTGTCCTCAGACAAAAGGTTTTTATAAATGTAAACAATGTATAGTGTGTAGAACTACAGATTCTTCCGTTTTATCCAAGACTACCCAATTTAGGTCTAATATAACTAAAAAGGTATACAACATTTATGATTTTATCTGCTGCAATACCAAGAATGTCGTGTATCTGCTCGAATGCCCATGTGGCCTCCAATATGTGGGGATGACCACAAGGTGCTTAAAGATAAGATTGAGCGAACATTGTAGAATTATAAAAAATGGATACTTAAATCATACAGTATCCAAACATTTCATTATGCATAACAAAGACCCAAATCTACTTAAATGCATTGGTATAAAAAAATGTACTACCTCATGGCGTGGAGGAGATATAAAAAAAGTACTTGGAAAAACGGAAATGGAGTGGGCGTATAACCTTAAGACCCTTATACCCCACGGTCTAAATGCAGATTTTGACCTACATAATTTTTTTATGATTTTCTGTGTATATGCCTTTAATTGGTTTTATCCTTGCTATTTTATCAATCTATTGCTATTATTCAAATTGCTTTTACTGCTTATAGTTATTTTTATTATCACTTTACTTCTATTCTTATTGTTATTCATTTCCTGCTATTTTCAGTGTTTTTACTGTTCATATTTATTTTTTATTATCATGCTATTGCTATTTTACAGTGTTTTAAATATATTATTTGAGTGCAATACTGTTCTATTTATTTAAAACAGTATATCCATTATGTGCCATCCCTAATATGGCTGCTGCTATACCACTTTTCCCTTTCCAATATGGCTGAACCTCATCCATTTTTTAAACCCTTCTCCCTCCCATTCGGCATTACAGCCGCCATTTTCGGCCACAAACTACATTTCCCATGCGGCTGTTCGGCACTTCCGGTTCGCGGAAGTGCCGAAAATCACGTGACCGATTTCATAAACTAAATTACACACTTTCTCCCCTTCCTTTTCCAATTAAACAAATTTTAAATAGAACAGTATCCCTTAGAATACCAAATAATGTATTCATTTTAAAGTTTTGAGTTTGCATAAAAATTGTGCATTCTGATTGGCTGTATCAACTTTTGGCGCCCATATTCAAATTTATTGTGTCTTATATAACCCCTATATGCCAGGTAGTAAATGTTATTCCATTTGATAAAGTCTTTTGTGACGAAACGCGTTATGGATATTTATATTGTGTATTAATATTAAAGTTAATTTGGTTATTTATTTGTGCCAATTATCTTTTTTATACACATTTATTTTATTTTATTTTTAACCTGGCTTTTTAATCATTTTACTGTATAATTTTATTATTATTTTTAAACCATTTATTGGTTTACACCAACAAATTGGAAGACTCCAGTACCCCAAGAAATCCTTAAGTGGGGATCAATCCACTTACGCTGTCATCATAGAGCAGTCCGTCTGCTCTTTATTTGTAAGTACGTTTTTATTTAATTTATAACATCACCACTATACAGTGAGCACTATTGGTTGTCTCTTCTTCCTTCCGAGAATTGATCACCCCTGATGGACAGATATCCCACCATACATATCCCAAAAGCAGGGATTATACCGCTGTGTGCGCCTTATCTCAGAGCTGGACAAAAGCTCTTGTAAATGTGAGTTTTCCATCATTATCTCTCATTACGTCTTAATTTGAATCTGATATACTGCACCATTGGTTGTCCGTCTTTTCTCTCTTTCATATAAGAGGACCCACCACTGTATTTGAAGAACCTACCATCCTACCAGCCTTTCATAAAGACTATGCGTAAGGACTCACTATTTGGACTTTTTATATTGGTTTTTATTCAACTTTTTAATTTTTTTATTCTGATTTTACGTGGCGCAGCCTTTTATTTATTGTTACTTTTATTTATCTTGTTTTAAGGGTATCTAGAGGGATTCCCCTTTAAGGGTTGCTGCCTTGAGTTGTTTAGCGCTGTATCATCCACTTACCACTATCAAGAATATTAGCAACACTACATCACCGACACCATACCTTGACATTCCACTTCGCAGACCTCTTTACGGGCGTACCTGCTAAACCATCTACCCGTACCCACTAGGTAGCGCACCGGAACTGCATATCCTGTTCCCCTTCTCTCTCCCACATTAAACCACTAGCACATCACACAATAAAGCAAAGACTACGGACCCACATTTATTGTACAACAAGCTGAGCAGGTCTAACTGTAATTTAGCATACAATTATACGCACATGTCCAACCCTCACGCATGTTATTATCCCACTGTGACGAAGTGCACTTCGCCACTTGGTCCTGGAGAGGCCTGCTTGCCAGCCTCCTGCCCTGCGACTAAGGACCCTGGGAGATTGTACGTTTAAACCAGCATTTGGGCATATGGACTTTTATTGTACGGTGCTGGCCCTTACAGTGTATGGACATACTGAAACTTTTGAGACACTTTTTATGCCCCTTTGAATTCATGGAAGGTGTGCCTCTTCCCTCCCCCAGCTCCATTGTTTTCCAGCATGGAGTTGTCCCAATTATCTCCTAAGCAGAGGGGTGGGATAATATAAGTGTGTTTCTATTGTCCCATTGTGTCTGATTGGCTGCTGTACTTGCATTGTATATGTTGTAGTGTGTTTATTGGTTGTTCTGAAAAACCCTGTGGGTGGTACTATGTGTAGAAAACCTGCATAAAAGAAGGGCCTTTGGTGCCAAGTAATACAGATCTTCTTGACCCTTAATACATTGCCTTGTCTCGTTATTGGAGGGAACTGCTATAATCACACTGGGGATTGCTATGCTCTG